GAAGGATATGCAATGTTATTGGTCCTGACCTGGCAACTTGCTTTCAGTCACTGTCCCACCGCCGTATATAGAATCCCTGTGCCTTTTCTGTAAATAATTTCATGGTAATTGTTCTGATTAGAGTTCCTCTTTCGTACACAGTCTTCATGAATTTAATGGCTGTATTAAACTTGCGACAAGGTCTCTCAACACTTTACCGTTGAAATGGCTAGATGTAACCGTAAGTTCTATGCTAACATTTCCTTCACATGCGCTTCTCGCCGGCAGAACTCTCTTCCGGCTTCTTTCTCCCCTGTCAAGTTTGATCTTCAAAAAATAAAATGCAATGTCAATAGTTATATATTTTGTCTTCTTATTTCCCGTATCAAGAAAATTGTTCGAAAATAATTGTTCGAAAACATTCGAAGAACATTTATTCGAATTGAAAAATGATTGAATGAAAATTAATGGAAAGGAAAATTATAGTAAATGATAATTATTCGAAATATCGATGTTTGAGAGAATCAATGCTGATTTACCCAGAACGAATAACGTCTTTCAAGGATGGCATAGGCTATTTTTGCAGCAAGTGTCATCCTTTCACCACACGATATGGAAATTCTTAGACGCTCTTAAAAGAGAACAGGACTTGCAATTAATTCATATTGAAAAAGTTAGAGCAGATTGCCAACATATGAAGAGATCCATGATATACTGAGACGTAAATTGAAAACTTAAAACAATAGTGACATCCTTTAATGAGTAAACTTCAGTAGTTGACTTTTTGTATGCAGGAATCATATAACTTAAGATTATAAGGAATTTTTTCTTACTAAATTTTTTTTATTAACGATATTTGTATTTGAAATAATTATGATTTGTGTCTTCTTTTAATTTTTACATTTTTTATTGCAATAAAGAATTTTGCATTTCGAAAGATTATCATATATTATAATTGTTCTTTCGATTAATTTCCATTCAAACTCAAATAAATTCGAATAAATGTCTTTCCAACAATGTTCACATCTTAGAAACAAAGAAAAGAACACTGAACTGATATTTAATATCAATCCTCCTATATGGTTAAGTCAAAATCTTTAAACAAAATGAGTTATTAAACATCTGGTTTGATCCAAATCGCTATTTTGCATTATATGGATGAGTTGATAATTGCGTTGATTGTCACCAGAATCTGATCAGTTCAGCATTCAAGGGATAAGTTAAACAAAGTATTAAGAATCAGGAAAATATCTGTAGAAACCTTACCGAGAAAATTATAATTGTTCTTTCGATTAATTTCATTAACTTTTGTCCAGTAGCTTATTTCCTTTGTT